CATAAACCATGACAATGTCTTATAAATACAGAAGCAGATATTCTCTAAAAAATTGTACCAAGTTAGATCAAGCAACACATATAAATTATTATCCACCATGACTGAAAGGAATATATCCCAGCAACAGAAGGTTGGTATAACAACAATGATAAATGCGTGTAATGTACCATTCTATAAATAAAGGGTAAAGACCACTTTATTATCTCAATAAACATGGAAAACTAATTATTTGACAATATCTAGCATTCATTCATTATAAAAGGGAGTATTCACCATAACAAGAATAAAAAGGAACTTTCTTAATCTGATAAAGAAAGAAGGAAAATTCATGACTAATTTTCTTACCTAGAAGCTCTACTATAATGGTGAAGGGAGGTTTCTATATTTCTATATTAGATATCCTTTTCTTTTTCTGGTCTTAAGATAAAACCATTCACTGTTTCACGATGGTATCTGGTCTTCATTGATTTCTCTTTATCAGATTAAGGAAGTTCCTTTCTATATTCTTGTTATGGTGAATGCTCCCTTCTATAATGAATATAGTAGATTCGATGTTAAACAAATCTAGCACAGTTGTAGGATAAAGCTCAACGTACAAATGTCAAATCTATGCACTAGAGATGAAAATTCAAAATGCAGTTTAGCATACTCTCAAAACATTGGAAATAAATTTAAGAAAATTGAATTATTTATACACTACAAACTATAAAACATTTTTAATGTAAAGATCTAAGTAGAATTAAAAAATCTCTTTCATAAAGTGAAAGATCTAGTGTTAGCAATAAAAATCTACCTTAGTCTTATCTATAGAAATCTAGCTTTAAAAATTCAAGATAGACACCATATTAAAATATAATGGTAAAATTTTGATTAGACAAATGTGATAAAAATTTGTGTAACAAATACATAGCTCATAAAATGGAACTGAAGAAAATATACCATAATGAATGAAAACAGACTTAAGTACTGGTAAAGCAATGACTATTTTCAAATAATATAAGTTCCAATTATCTTGTAATTGATAGAGTTCTGAGAAGTAATACAGAAATCTTTAATTGTAGTTGAAGTATTAACCCAGACCACTCAAAAATGTATAAACCAAATAGATGCACTAAAAATTATAAAAGACCAGAATGATGAATTCTTAGTTATAGCATAAGATAGAAGTTAATAAAACTCTCTTGGAATTCAGGAAGTTCAGGGATCTGAGAGCTAATATGTAAGACAATTACACTAGATCAAGATGTACTTTCAGATACATTTGCTATGCTGGATTGCAATAACTTTTTCCCTCCTTTCTCTTTCTATTGTCTGTCTTTAGTTTGAGGCTTTATATTTTGTATTTCTTATTTATCACAAATAACTTAATGTTTAGGCTTGTATGTGTGATATTCAGCTGTTAATATCATGGTCTCAGAGGAGCATCCAAAGAGAACAAATGACTTGTTCTCTTTATTGGAGAGTTGATTGAATCGTGTATAAGTACAATTTCTTTATCCATTTATTTGTTGATAGAAATGTAGGCTGCTTTGAAGATTTAGATATGAACTGTGCTGCTACAAATATGGGTATGCCTACCTTATGTAATGTGATGCCTTTAACTCTTTCAGGGAGATACTTAGAAGGGAAATAGCTGGATGAAATAGAGTTTTTCTTTTTATTTTTTGATGAATCTATATACTGGTTTCCATAGTTGTACCAGTTTACCACCTATAATGTAGAAGTGCTTTTTTCCCCATGGCCTCTCCAGCACTTGTTATTATTTGATTTTTAGATGATACCCATGCTTTCTGGAGTGAGATGGAATCTCATTGTTTTAATTTTTATTTCTCAAATGACCAATGATGTTGAACATTTTTTCATGCATTTATTGATTATCTGTCCTGAGGAGTATCTATTAATTTCAAATGCCTATTTTTGATTGGGTCTTAAAGTTTTAGGGGTCTAGTTTTTTGAGTAACTTGAATGTTTAATCTTTTTCTACTTAATAAAATATTTAAAATACCTGCAATGTGCTAACTCATGCATTATTTCTGTGTCTATTCAGTTCTCATTGGCTAGTTCTCATTTGCAGTCACATGACTGCAAAGGTGCCTTGGAAATGTATTCCAGCCTAATGTCTAGAAATAAGAATTGTTTTTTGGATAACTAGAATCTTTTCACAAGTAGACCTTTTTGGTGGTTAGCAGCTATCATTTCATTCTCTCATTAAAGGACACAACTGAAAGTTTCTTCCATTACTGTACCTCAAAGTTGAGGATATTCAATGACATTTTCTCTTCTCCATCAGAAATAAACAGGGTTATTTCTGGTTGAGTAGCATAAAAACCTGAGATATCTTTTTGTGTTGCTGTCTTGTTACACAGTGCACAGACTATCTAGCTTTAAAAACTCTTTCAGAAAAGAGGAAATGGGAATACATTGAAATCATTCAATTATAGCAACAAAGTTATTTTGGGGGGACCCTATAAAATCTTCCACCCTAACAGTAACGGAATTTATTACCATTTGGATTTATTTATTTATTTATTTGGTACTGAGAATTGAACTCACCACCTCAAGCTTTCCAGGCAGGTACAGTGCCACTGAGCTCTATCGCTGGCCCTACCATTATGATTTTTAATAGTAATAATAGTACCTAGTAGTTCAGTACATATTTACAGTACTTGATGTTAATATTCTTTGTGTGAAAGCTGGTACATGTATGTAATGCATCTTAGTTTCTTTTTATTTATTCTTTTTGTCTAGGTTGGGGGTAAAATGTCAGTGCCTCTGGTATCTAGAGCAAAGTCACTGCTTTTCATGAGTTTTACGCATTAGTGTACGCAGCTTGCGCAGCTGATACACAAAGTGAATTTACCTTGCTTTGAGATAATGTAGACACTTTCCCTCTTCTTCCCCATGTAACCACCAAGGCATGATGTTCTGCTAAAGGTTAGATGTTCTTCCTGTTCCAGATCTTAACGTCCCCTTAGAGTCTCTGTGAAGACCTCCTGTGATCACTGTATAAATAAATGCTCTGCAGTTGCTGGCTAGTCATTTCTCCCATCATGAGGGGGACTCCACCTGGCCTCAGCTTCTTGTATCCCGTCTCTTGTCTTCTTTTCATCCTCTACAGTCCTCCCTCTCAGGTTCCAGGAGCTGCTCTGGATGTCACAGCTCTCCTTCCACTCTCCCTCAGTCCCTGATCCCCTTCCCTTTGGGAACTTAGATCATGAGTGTTTTATTGAGGAGAAGACCTTTTGGCTCCCCTGTATGTGAAGTTTTCTCTTGCTTTTTATTCTAAAGGGCAAAGCTAACAGGAACATGGAAGATTATGTTTTCTTTGAAAGGTAGGAAATGTTACGTGATTTCTTTTGCTTTGAAAATTCAATCAGTTAAAATTTTATTGGCCATAGCATGTAACTTATACCATGTCCATGGTATAAATCCTTCAAAGGCATAAGAAATTCCTGTCAAATTTGTCTCTAGTGTCTTTAACAAGCCAGTCACTAAATCCTGGGTTACATCTAAGGATTATTAAGTCTTTGTTTATTTCCCTGCTTCCTCTCCCTGTGTCTTCCTCTCTTTGATGGAGGCTACCAACAGGTCTTCAGAAACAATAGGCTTGGAAGGAAAGGCACAACTTTTCATTAGGCCTTGTCATAGGGTAAATATCTCTATTTAACTGAGAAGACTTAATACATCCTCTCTAGTGAAGTCTTCTTTTTAAAATCTTTCTCACTACATGAGGTCAAAACGCCTGTGGCTTTTAATACTCTGCTCAACGTTTATGGATCCTTTCTATTCCCTTTCATTTCTGCTTGAAAACATCAAATTTATTAACTTAATATATTGCTACAAATAACCAATCTCAAAATAAACAGCATTCTGCCTCTTTAGTGCATGAGTTGTTTTCCAGAAACTGATCTGCCTTCCATGTGATTATATGATGAAAAAAAAGTCTCATGACCAAAAAATCAATTTTTTTAAGTTTATGATATTTTCTGGTCACCCCTGGTGACATTTTTGGTAGGAAATCAATGACACACACTTTGTGTTTTAGATATAACTAAATACCATTTTGAATATTCATTCTTTATTAATGAATATGAAGTATGCACTTTTAAACAATGTTAAGTAGTTAGCCAATTTTCTTAAGATTATTTTTCACTATAAACTAATGCTTTTTGAACTTTTTACTTTTGCTAAAATTTACAACAAAATTCAATTTGTATGATCATACAAAAAGCACATTCACAAATATACCAAATAGGACATGCCTAAATCAAGATGTAACTGGAAAAATCATACATGTAATATAATCACTCTAAAATTCCTTTGTATTGATAAGCCGATTTTTTTACAGTAGATTTGAGAAATTTGTTTGACAAATGCTGAATATTTAGCAATGGTGTTTAAAACAGATAGTCATTTGAGAACTAAATATTAACATGATTTTTGTATCTTGCTTAAGATTTACATTTATTAAATATTAATAATGAAAGTAAATAAGTAATATTCACTGTATGATAATTTTTATTTAATATTGCATATCCATTGTTTTACTTCAATTTGTATTGTGTCACTTGCTTCTTTATTAGATCTATCTTTAATACTTAAGTGCTTTTAACAATCAAGCATGAACAGTAAGAATAACATTTATATTTTGTATTTAATGTCTAAAAATGTTGTTAAATTGACATTAATAAAGATACAATCTTACAATTAAATAGCACTGAGTTTTACTTTTTAAATAGACAATGGCATTATGTAACTTTCAAAGGTTCAATGTATCATAGAGGTCTCTGCTTATCTGGCATATATGTGTGTGTATTAATATTGGACATAGAACGAATTTCTTCAATTGATTAGTGAGCCAAAATACAGTATCATTGAAGCTCTCTTTAAACAACTCCAACTACAAAGAAAATACAAAACTGGAAACTTAGAACTCAAAGACTTGTTGCCTTGTTTTTTCACTTTGTGGTTTCTGAAATTACAATTTTTTTCATTTTAAGGCCCGTTAACAGAACAACACATGAACATAACATTGTGTGGAAGATGCTGAAGACAATTCCAGAATTAGCTTCGCAGCTAAATGATGAACATCTGAAAACACTCAGCAAGAATATAATTTCTGAAACCTGGGTCAAAGGCAGCATAGGTAACAGAACTATGTAGAGAATAACTGGCTGAAGGAAATGCTTGCACCTGTGTTGATTTTCTATCAATATAATGTATGTGATTGCATTTGACATTTTAAAAAGTATACAATTAGACTACATCCCACTTGTGAGATAATTAGTGAAAGAAATAACGGGTCATGTTTTAGTGTATACTGTTTAGGATACACACTAAGATGCCCCTACTTAGAGGATAGCATCAAAGTAAGTCAGACTACTCAGTGAACACACATTGATTGGCTTAAACTCCAGAATTTCTGGCTCAGTAGATCTGGGATGCAGCCTAAATTGCATTTCCAATAATCCATCAGCAGATATTACCAGTCTGGGGATCACACTTTGAGAACTGTTCATTTGTACACACATTTAGTAAAAGTCTAACAGTATTTTTTCCTAACAGTGTTTTTTCCTAACAGTGTCAAGACAGTAAATAATCAAAGTGATTATTTGCCAACAAAGATACACTTCTAGATATTGGAAAAGAACTGTCAAGGCAGATTTTAGTTTTCCAATTTCAGTAGTTTTTATTCCAAGGATATAGCAGGTACATTAATAGAAATTCATATGTTTAAATATTGTTTGTACCCATGACATTTATTTTTATTCATCAGACAAATAAATATAGATAGATACTGTTGTTGTTATTTTCCACAGATGAGAACCCCCAAAACACAAAAATATCATTAGGAGAAAGCCTGGTTATTGTTGAGTTTCAAATACACTTCAGCTAATGAGAAGCTCATTTTCTGTGCCTTGTGTCGCTACTGCTTGTATAAAGTGGTTCCTCAGGAACATGACATTTAAAAACTAACTGGAATTTTAGAGAATGTGTCCCTTTGAAAAAATTTACATATTTTGAGAGTTTTCCCTCAATGGTTTTCTCTCATAATTAGTTCCATTTAATCAGAGTCAAGCAGTGAAACATAAATCAAAAGAGTTTTCCAAAGATTAAAATGTCTTTACAGTAATAAAAGTACAACTATTCAACACTGCTTTGCCATTAGCTTGAGGACATCAATTAAAAATTAATTTGTTTCATAAGCTCTGAAATTATGTTTAAAATGATAACAAATTTTAGAACAACCTAAATGTCTTCAGTAGAATATTGACTACACATATTGTGATACATCTAATTCTAGACAGTGGTTAAAAGCATATAGTATATATGTATCTATATTTACTATATTAATAATTATTTATAACTATATATCTATCAAGTGATCTATTAATAATATGCATATACCAGTATGTATGTATATTTAGTGTTTAGAAAGTGAAACATAGCAAAGAAAAATAGAACAACTACAGAAATTATATGAATATTATATACTCATGCACATCATCATTTAACTTCATAAGAATGAGTCCAGGAAGATGATATAAAAATACACATTGCCTTGTGAAAGGTAGTCGAATTGGAGGGTGTTATGGTTTGGGTATTGCTAGAGTGACCTCCAAATATGTATTGTGATTGAAAGTTAGGTCCCAGGGTGACATTTTTGGAGGTGGTTGTTATGGATTGGAAACAGGTGGTCACATTAACACCAGTGAAATTAAATCACCATGGTGCTGAGTGTGGATGTTCTATCTGAGGAAAATTGCTAGCATAAGTAGACATGTGGAGAAGAAGAGAGGCATTGAGGCATTGAGGCACTGAAGGTTTTCCCATGTATTGCTGTTTGAGACGTTGGTTCTCCTGGAGCAGCTCTGGTCCTTACATTGAGCATTGCTTCCTGGCTCTGGAGGGGAAGATGTGTGCCATTTGGACTCAAGGATGAACTTGTCACGCTGGCTTCCTGGCATGTACTCAGCTGTGCTTATTGTTAGAGGAGCTCGGGGCCTCCGTGTCGCTGAGGATGGCTGTGGTGCTTTTCAGGACAGCGCTGGTCTTTGTTGTGAGTGTTACTTCTTGGCTCTAACATAGAACCTTCAACCTACCAGCACAGCTCCTTCACCCTGCTGGCTTGGACTTTCTGGCTTCCACTGCTGACCTTTGGACCTTCCCAGCACAGATCTATAAAAGAAACTGGTGTGAGTCCTTCTTGTGGGCACTGGACCTCCAGTTGGACTCGTGGGAGGCACTGTCGTGAGCTCTGAGGCTTCATCTGTACTCATGTGAGACATTGCTGTGGGATTTAGGCCCTTGGCTAAATATTCTATGTTTTTAGGGTTTTAGACAGGTTTCTTGAACTCACTTGTGTTAACTCTGGGTGCTCATCATAAAATAATATTATAAACTCCATGTCCTGCTTCTAATTGTTCTCTGCACAACCCCTGACTACAACAGTGGTGAAGCTTCTGGTAGGTGGGCCCTCTTGGGAGGTTCTTAGATCACCTGTAGTGTGAAGTACTTCTTGTGGACCCCTTTGGTTCTTGGAGTATATTATTACAAAAAGAGCAAACTAGTTCTGTCCATCTTTTTTCCTCCCTGTTCCTATTAGAGGTGCTGGTCTTCCTACTGCCATGATGTGCTTGTCACGGTGTCCTTACCAGGGGTTACATGAATAGTGTTTCTTGAATTTTGGCATTTGAACCTATGAACTGTGACCTAAATAAAACTTTCTCTTCATAAAATCAGCTTCCTTAGCTATTTTGTTATACTAACAAAAGTTTAAACAAGGGCAATACACACGACTAATTCAGTATTGTACATATATTTGTGTTGGTTTAATTTTTACACAATGAATGTAGATTGATGCAGCAATGTGTATAGTTATATATTTAGTTTTTGAAGAAAGTTCTATAATTATAATTAGAAGCAAATATTTTATTCTGATGACATCTTAACTCATTATTAAATATTAAAATGTGAAATCTCAGTAACAACCAATATAATGTGATTATTTACATTAAAGCACTTGAACTTGCATATCAATGGAGCATATTTTCACAACTTTTCAAACACTTAAAAGTCTTTACATTTATCTCTTTCAAAATCCTCTTCAGTTTGTAAAATGTCTAGCCCTGTTTCACTGTCAAAGTTGTCAGCTCATTATATATCTGACCTTTGGAGATCTCTTTGTTCATCCAACTTAAGAAACAAGCCCACCTAGGCAGCTGATTTGTCGCTCTTTTTCTTTATTCATTGATGTGTTTCTTTTTCTCTGCTGTTAGTAAACGTATTCCCTCATGCAGGCCCTCATTATCAAGCTGCTGACTTTCAATCTGCTGCAGAGGTTTTTCTTCTCTGGTGCAGTGCCACAGCTGTTTGTACCTTCTGGTCTCCCTCTTGGCCATTAGTTCTCAGATATAAATTATTTAAGAAAGTTTCCCAAACTTATTCTGTCAGCCTCTTATGCATTCAGCTCTTGTAAACAATAAAATATTTAAAAGGAAATATTATTATGATTTTTAAGCAATAAATTAAACACATTTCAAGTTTAAGTGATCATTGTAATATACCATACTTACTATTTTATATAATTCATTTACTATAAGATTACTAGACATAAAGTACTTACATATTTCATATATATTCCATATATATATTCCATTTATAATCATATAGAGAAATAGAACACAGTTTATATATTTCATATATAATCCTATAGAGAAATAGAACACAGTTTACTGAAGTCAAATAATCTCAAGAATTTTCTATTAAATATTAATTTATAATATAATAATGACATTTTAAAGATTGCTAACCTCTTAAAAACTGAAAAAAAAAATACTTTCTTGAGCTCACAATCAGTATTTTACCAGGAACTGGATCTCACATAAAAATTGTCTTATAATTTACTTTTAACTTACTATTCAAACGAGTTTCTATAAAAAGAAGAGTATGTCTTTTTTTCCTATTAATATTATATTCATTGTGTCATCTCTACTAGGAGCCCATTAAAACTTACTCTATTTTTTCTCTTCTAGTTCTTTGATTAAATTTTGTTTCTGTGTTTTTGTGAGGTAATAGATCAAAGATTCTTTAAATTAGTTTGATAAAATTTTATATTTCATTTTAATTCTGAAAAGTTTTGTACAACCAAATTTTTAACATTTTTTTCTTGGATGGACGATTTTGTTTTACGGGTTTCGGGCAGCATATAAAAATGCAGAGGCTAAGGGCCAAGGATTTAGCTCAGCCGCATAAGTGCATGCCTTGCAGGCACGAGGTAGAGTTCGATCCTTGGTACAAAAAAATATACAGTAGCTAAGTCTCATGAAAAAAATGTAGTGCAAATCTTTCCATATGTAAATTAATCAGAACTCAAATAATTACTCTTGTAATAAACGTAACAAATTTTTTTCTATGGTAAAGACCATGGCTTCCTTAAAGGCACACATGGCCTTAAAAGATGTATCTTGATCTTAAAGTGAAGATATGCCTTTTTTTACACTAATTGTTTTACAACAATAAAATTCACTACTAGTAAAAGATACAATCTTTTGCATTTTTTTTTTTTTTTTTTTTTTTTTTTTTTTTTTTTTTTTTTTTTGCGGCACGGGGATTGAACTCAAGAACTCTTACTTGCCAGGCAAGCGCTTATGCCGCTGAGCTAAAATCCCCGACCAAAAGATACAATCTTAAAAGTGAAGTACTGAACTTATTCTAAACTTTATTATATAATTTCCTAACAGCTAAGAGATCATGGAACTGTATCTTAATGCTAAAAAGGGATCAATAGTGTGTGTGTTTTTGTAAACTCACATAATAAATCCTTTAAGATACACAGATTGAATGAAGGACTGAAATCTTTTTTTACTGGAAAAATAATCAAAGGTCTTGACTTTAATACTTGTAATACAAAAATAGGAATATTTTTGTAGTAAGAAATATCCTTAATGTTGTTTTGTGCAAGAAAGTTTAATTTTAAAGATTGAAAATTAATAAGTTTTAAGTGATTGAATTCAATCACCAACAAATTATAAAATTATAAATTCTGTTTTTATAAAATCTACAAGTAAGTAACTACATTAAAGTCATGTATAATGCCTCATGCTCAATAAACTCATCATAAGATGAAAATGCGGTCAATAAAAA